GGCAGCGGGGCGGGCGCACCCGCGGAAGGCTGCGGACCTGTGTTTGTGCGTGTGTGTGTGCGTGTGCCCGTGTGTCCGAGGCTCCGTGTCCCCGCCGTGCTGCCCGCCCGGTACAGCCGCCCTGATGGGGCTCCCGGCGGGCGGAGGGGGAGCGCGAGTGCGGCCCTGAGGGGGCTCCCGGCGGGCGGAGGGGGACCGGGCTGGGGGAGCTCCGGGCTCCGCTCCCGGCCTGGCCCCGCTTTACCGCGGTCGGGCACCGGCAGCTAAACCCCGGAGGCACCCGGGATCCCGTGAATACCTTACAGACCCATTGAACGCCAACAATAAATCCTCTGAAGTGCAACTTATCTCGGCAGAATTAATTTTATAACGGTGCCCCTGAAGTGCAATTTCATTATTATTTGATTGAAGGTAAATTGAATTGTAACTCAAGGTCGAGCTGTGGGCAGTCGCTGCCTTTTGGAGGACGGGGAGCGGCTGGAGGAAGAAAATAAAACAAATCCAAGCCTGGCAGTGGCGGAAAGTGTTTTGGCAGAAGAGGTCTCGAGGGCCGGTGCTCAGAATTAAGCGAGAAAAACGTTTTTATCGTTATTATTAATTCTTGCCTAGTAAATGAACGTACACGGCGTGCGTCCCCCGCGCAACAGCCGCGAAGGAGGCGCGGCAAAACCCCAGCGATCTCCGCAGCCCCTGGGAAGTTCAGCGAAGTGAAGTGAATAACAAACCCCAGCCACCCTCCCTCCCACCGTGCCCAAGAACCCGCCCGGGGCCAGACATCGTATCCCCACCGGGAGCTGGGGGACCGGGACCCGCCGCCAGCGGGAGCGATGGGTTTGTCCCCGCGCCTCTTCCCGTAGGAAAACAAGGACACAGGAAACGCTTCTCGGAACTTTCCGGCAATTTTTCATTCTTTAATTTTTACATTATTTTTATTTTTAATATCTTTATTTTTTACAATAAAAGGAAACGTTCTAAAGAGTTGCCTGCTTCGTTCTCTGTCTGCACACGGATGAGGTTTGACCACACCTGGAAAAATCCCCCAAAACCTCCCGTTTTTCCACCTCCCTCTGAAACGCCAAGAGGATTTCGTTCTGCGCCCCTCGCCTTCACCATCTTGGAGGGTATGCTGAACCCCGGCCCCTCCGAGAGCTCCCGCCGGGGCTGCGAAGCGAAGGAGGGATTTTGAGAAAAAAATAAACGAATTTCGACCGCTGCAAGCACAGGGACCGGCTCCCGGCTTTCATCCCAAAGGCTGGGAGGAGGAGGGGGGGGTCCCCACCGTCCTCTCCTGGCTGCTCCACAGGGACTGCTCCCAAGGTGGGAGGCTTCAGGCTCAGCTCCGGCTCTGAAAACCTTAATAAATGCAGAGGTAGAGCAGCTCCAGGACTGCCACGAGGGACCTGCCCCTAAGGGCCATCTCCCAAAATCACAGCGGCTCCAGCACGGGGATGCAGCAGGGCCTGGGTGGGCATCGAAGCTCCCAGGGAACAGCATCCAGCTTTGAGACTTGTCAGGCAAGGGGATGAAAAGCTGGGCAAAGGGACAAGATGCAGGGATAAACCCTTCCCAAAACAGCCTCTCTTGACCATTTATCCAGCTCTAGTTTTGTACCCCCTGCCCCCAAACACAGTGAGAAAGGGACAAAAACCCCTGCATAGCCCCGGTCCATCCTCAAGGACAAGCTGCCAGGCTCTTGCTTTCAGCCTCACACTCATCCACCACATTTGCATCAAAATTCACATTTGCTGATGGTTTTGTTCTGCTCAAAAAGCAAAATTACTTTTTTTTAAAAAAGACTCAAACATTTTTCCATCTGAGGGAGAAGGCCCTTGGCAAGGGATGATGGCTTTCCCAGCTCCAGGCAGGACCAGGATGGCAACTCTTTGCATTATAATGAAGGATTCTGCTCCACCCTCCCATCACTTGAAAATAATGAATCCAGTTTCACCATTTTTTCCTGCCAAGGTTACAGCAGTCTGGTCTTTTCTGCTCTTCGATGGTGATTAACATCTGGACCCTGGAAGGAAGGGGCTGAAAAACTCCTCACAAGGAGCACTGAGCCTCACAACCTCATGAAAGGGCAATAGCAAAGCGTTGGGTGTTCACTGATATACAGGATACATGGAAAGATGTATGTTCTCTTAATTTTTTTTGATTAAACAAATATTTTAAACTCTATTGTGTAGAGGCTGCATGGAATTATTTTCCAAGAAGCTAATATAAATGTGCAGGCACAGGTAGGGATAAAGGATACAAACACCTTCTGGAGGGGGGTGGAAATGAATGACTCGATACTGTTCAGAATTTCAAAAGCCACTTTATAAAGCAAATAAAAATATTTACTGATTTGGTACACTCACATGGAAAATTCCTAGAAAGAGTGCTAAAAATGAATGGAAACCTCCATACTTTGCAGCTATTTTAAATTATATATCAAAACAGACAAATACATCTTCCGTGCTTGTTTATGTTACAATAACAAAGTCAAAAACAGGCACAAATTGTAGAAGTTGAAATGTTTTACTTCAAAGTCCAAAAAAACCTCCTCTCTTTACGAGAAATCCAAGGAAGCACCTGATGAGGAGTATCGACAGAAGTGTCTTTAACCACTGTGCTCCACAGGCTGCCTCTGCCCCAAGAGTTAATAAAATCCCATCTCTATGCATTCTTTAAAACTCCCTGTTTTCAGGCTCTTATGTGTGAAGTAAAGGGATGCTTGGAGCTCAGAGTGACAGGCAGAGTGAAGCACAGCTTGTATAGGTAATAAAGACAAAACAGCACTCCTGCCTCATCAAATGGCTCACAGGCAAATTAGCAAGTGGAGTTTACTCCCATTTTGCAATACACTATTTCCAAGCAACACAGCCCCCCACAAAAAAAATTAATCTGTTCAGTAAGAAATGTGCACATTTAAAACAAGTATCATAGTTTAAAAACTACAAGGATTTTTCTTCAGGATTTCATTCTTTCCCCCAAATAATAAAAGAACAAAATAAAACGCCAGACAGTTTCTATAGTTGTGTGGGCTTTTTTGTTTTTTTTTAAAAAAAGGTCCAGAGCTAATTCCAGCTGTATCTTCCTGAGGGCGGTGGGAGCGGGTAGGGCCTCCCAGGGCCGTATGCCTACAAACAAACAAAAGCAAGCATTTATTTTTTGGATTAACATCACAGTAAACAAGTTAGCCGGGCTTCAGGCGCCACAGAGAACTGCAACAATGCATCCCCTGCGCAGGAAGGTACCGCAGGCAGCACCAAGCCGCTCTCAGCCGCCTTTAAACGCTCTCCTGGAAACAGAGGCTTTAACTCCCAGCCAGGCTTCAACACCAGGAAGAAATTCCCTAAACTACAGCACTGAGACAACGGCATTTCCAAGCCGTAACTTCTCTGTATGTTCTCTTCTTTCAGCAACGCAGAGGTACAAAATGTTAAAGCCACATATATATATATATACACATCAATACATGCACCTGAAGGGCACATTGGAAATGTGTATGTTTAATTCCTACAGAGAGGTGGGCTTTGCAGCCTGCTTTACCCAGAACCATGCTGTAAATGTTATTTTTGTGGACAAAACTCTCAATTTGAGACGCGTGGTGCCTGTGAGCTTGTTAGCAGCATTAGTCAGGTTTATTTTCTTTTAGAGAGAAAAAAACTACCTTCCCTCAACTACCAGCTTTCTGATTTAGCTGTAAGCAACTTCTTGCTAAAGTGAGACATTTTTACAGATAAGTATTTAAAAGAAAAAAAATAAATTGCATTTATTGCAGAAACAGCTTTTTCAGCGCTCGTTCATTTTAAATGACGCCTAAATTCCATCTTGGAAATCACTGAAATTTAGATATATTTTTGTATTTAAATTTATATGAGGAATTCTGTATATCAACTATCCAGCAAAAAATCCACCAGAAAATTTCACTGAAAGTCTCCTTGAAACATTTAAAATTATTTCAAAAACTGATCTACTGCAGAGACCAGAAAGTTAATTACATGCGATGCACTAACGACAGCTATAGGGGTTTGCTTTGTTTCTTATTTGCAGTTTTTTTGGTGGACAGGGGAAGAGGGGCTTCCTTTCACTGCTTTAAAAGAGAAATCCACCTTTCCCCTATCCTGCCGTGGCTCAGAACTGACCACAGGAACCAGGGAAACAGTGAGCAAACCTCTGCAAGAGGAGGGTTGCTTCAGCCTGCTTGTGTCAGACCATCAAATAAGACTTTCTGAACAGAAACAGGTTTGTTACACCCCATTTTTAAAGGACTTGTGCAGAATACACCGGTTCCACCATCAGGAAGGCTTTGTTTGGTTTTGGGTTTGACTGTAATCAATTAAAGAAAGAAACAAGTTGACTATATCCCTGGAAAAATCCTTCCAGTTACACCAACAGCAGCAAGCCCTGCACAGAGCTGCAGTTTGGAGGTTTTCTAAGAGCTGTACGAGACACTGATCATTGAGTGACTAAAAGAAAAATGTCAAACACCTGCACAACATGATCAAGTTTATTCTTCAGGTTTCTGGAATGGCTGGAAGTTGGAGATACTAACAAATTTCCCCTCACCACAGAGCAACCTAAATCCATGACAGTAGCATTAATTTTTTAAGAACTTTGTAGCAGCACGTTTATTAACCCCTTCAGACCATGTTCTTCTGTATGCTGTAAAAAAAGTATTCAGAGTTGAAAGGGACCAAAGATAATTATTTATGCTGTTGTGTGTCACCACTTCCACTTGAATCCCTTTTCAAAGCTTTAAAGCTTTGAAATTTACAGGCAGCAATGCCAGATTCAATTATTGGTTTTGCACCCTAAACTCTTTAAGGTAGCTTCTAATTTTACTCCAGTGCTGTCACCCCCGAAGAAATAATGGCATCTGGAAGTTCATTTAAAAATAACAAAAAGAAAAAGGAAGCGATAACTTAAAAGAAGATAAAAACCAGTTGGAAAACAACGTAACTGCAAAAGAAAATTTTTAAGGAAGCAAATTTACTTGAGCTGAAAGATTTGTCCTAAATAACCATGTATGAGAACACAAAACCGCTGTTACCACCCAGCTTTAACTTCATTCTGTGACCCAGCAGCCATGTCCCATGCCAGGGCCAAGTGAATTACATTCTGGGCAAGACTGTGGCATGACCAAACAGCCACATGCCTCCTGTTTAACAGGGAATGACCTCCCTCAGTCCACACTTGCAACAGCTTCTGGAAGGCGACTCCCATTCACCCCTGTAGCTCCAGCTGTAGCTTTTATGCATGAAGCTTTCAGGTCAGGAATAAACCAGTTTAAGCATTGATTTCTTTTGCAAATATATTCACCTCTGCTACCCAGGATGAAGGGTAGAACAGAGCATGGTGTAGCAAACAGACCTTTTTCAAGTATCTATTTTCCAGCCCTAATTAAATATCACCCAGACTCCATCAGCATCAAAATCCTCCACTGATTTTCCTACATTAATACAGCAGCCCCTGTTATGGATTAGGGCAATTATGCATTTGTTCCTTTGTCTCCAGTGTTTTGGGTAAACCTGTGTAACACAACATGAAAGATTTTTGAAAACTGATCCTATTGATACACCTCCTCCAAATTTGAAAGATACTTAAAAAAAAACACTTTGGACTAGATGGGCAGCACAGCCAGGATTTAAGTCCAACTGTTTCCCTATTAAGCCTAATGCAATCATAACTCATGTTGTCTGGTATTACTTATAGGCAAAACCAGTCCTGCAAGGATCTGCACCGGTAATGCCTCCTCATTATAC